AGATGTCGTAGTAAAGCCCCATCATCCACTATCACGGTTGATAATAGGACTAGACATACCCTTCCATCCCTATCAAAGGTTAAAAATCTACTGGAGGCCAATGGGAAGGAGTGGAACTAGAGCTTACTAAGAGGAATATTCACAGATGAAGAAAGGAGACTGATAGAGGAATTGAGACCAGGAGGAGCCAAGAAGAAAGACAGTTACACTTGGGACTACACCAAGAATGGTCAGTACACAGTTAAGAGTGGATACTGGGTCTGCTCACAAGTCTTGGCTATTGAAAAAGAACCACAACCTGTGATGCAACCCAGTCTGGACAGACTATTTCAACAAATATAGAAGAATGAGGCAAGCCCAAAGGTACAACATTTTCTCTGGAGATGCCTCAGTGATATTTTACCAGTAGCAGGGAACCTCCATCATAGACACCTGGTAAGGGAAGCTGATTGCATTCGTTGTCAAGGCGAGAAAGAAACAGTTAATCACTTGCTGTTCACATGTCTCTATGCCAGACTTGTTTGCGCTGTCTCACCAATTCCAACTCCACCAGAGGGAGAATGGTCATAAACCTTATACACTAACCTCTCCACGATCCTCCACTACAAACAAACAAGCTCACTCCCTGATGAAGAAGGTAAGTTACTACCTTAGATCTTATGGAGATTATGGAAAAGCAGGAATGAGTTAATATACAGAGGAAAAGATCTGGATGCGAGAGTAACAGTGAGAAGGGCCATGGAGGATGCTAAAGAATGGGAAAAAAGAGAGGAGAGTACTAAAAAGGAGATGACACCAAATACTGGGCCACAAAAGAGATGGATCCCACCTCCACTAGGATGGCTAAAATGCAATGTTGATGGAGCAAAACCACAAGAAGGAAGCCAATGTGGGTTAGGTTGGATGCTACGAAATGAGAAGGGCACAGCACTTTGGATGGGAGCTAGAGCTATTCCGAGAACGAGGACTATCATTGAAACAGAAACGGAAGCTCTCCGCTGGGCTATGAGCATCGTTAATGGGTTTGGATATCAAAATGTCATATATGAATCAGACTCTTAATAGCTCATAGCCATCTTGCAAAATGAAGAAGAGTGCCCGATGCTAAGACCAATACTACAAGACATCAAAGGCACTCTCTCCCATTCAGAGCATGTCATAATCCGGTTCAAAACAAGGGAAGGAAATAGGGTGGGCGATAGGGTAGCTAAGGAATCTCTTTCATTCAGAAATTATGATCCGAGGTTATACTCTATAGTGCTAAATTGGGAAGAGTATTGTATCAAAGCTGATAACCGGTTGTAAAACATTTGGAATTAATATTAAATTGTTGTTGAGAAAAAAGAAATATATAGTAAATCTATTAAAAATTGGGTCATTTGCA